TTTTTTTGATTTTTCGAGACAGGGTTTCTCTGTGTAGCCCTGGTTGTCCTGGAACTCACTCTGTAGACCAGGCTGGCCTCGAACTCAGAAATCCGCCTGCCTTTTTGTGACTACTTCTTAATTGCCTTTTTTATGTCAAAAATAGCTTTTCCCCTTCTTAATAAATCACAGTCCAATTTAACCACAGGGAAATACTTAGCTATGTTGTGTTTCAGACCCAGGACAGGCTCCTGAGGTACATATTTAGCATATCAATGTCTGAGGATATAAACGCTTTTAAGAAAGTGTTTGAGGGTCTAAGAAGGTGTTTTAAGGTCGGTTCAGCAGAGAGGGCAGGGTATGCCATCCATGCCCTGTACCAGGGGATCTGAGAGGACCTGGAGCCCTCCAGTATGCTTTGGTATGCTAAATACGCAGGTGAGCCACTTGTCCTGCGTCTGAGCCCAACAGTGTTAGGTTAAAACAGTTTATCTTAGCCCATCAGCTTGCTTTTTAGCATTTTTTTTTTTTTTAGAAAACCAAAACAACTTTAATTCATAATGGAAATAAAATATAATCCTCTAAGGTAATGTGTGTCTCTGTGATAAAGCTATGCAAATGCTGATATTTATAAGATAGAAATATCGAGATCACTCTCCTGACACCACTTGTACCTTGAAAAGGCCTTGTGTCGCTAAATGTTTAATGAGAGCCCCTCCTTCAGAATAAGAGCCCTTCCTTCAGAAAGCTCTGGCTAACTAAGTAAGTAAAAGTGTATTCACATAGGTTATTTAGTTCTTCCTCAAGATTGTGAGATTACAATATGAACATAACATGTCTGATCACAAATAACTATAAATCTTTCCTACACAGAGATGGAATTTGGATTCCCTGCCATCTCTTGGGCTGTTTCTCTCTGTCCCACCCAGTAACCAGCACTGTTTAATAAGGACTGTCTTCCCTTCAAACCTAGTGGTAGGAAATGGCTCTCAGTTTTCGTGTGATACTTATAACCAATACTGTATTAATTCTTTTGTAGATGTGGTCACCCTTGTTAGCTAACTTAAGTCTTGGGTAAAGTTCCTTAAATGTGTCATCTTATATTTTTTCCTAATATTGGTTCATGTGTCTTTATATTATCTCAAGTGTCCATGGCAAACACATTGACTGTACCTATTTGATAGCCTAAAATAAGCTGGGAAACTAATATTAACATAACCTATGTTCTTGAAATATAAACTTTCGTATGGTTTACCATGTTCCCCAAGCACTAATTAATGTGCTCTGGTTAGGGTTAGTATCTTGATATCTTAATACACTTTTTAATCATAAATGTACGACATTGTAAAATACAATGCACTTTTGGCAAAGTTACATAGTCTTCATTTATTGTTATCAGCCTTTAGTTTCTTTGGGGTGTTTTGTTTGTGTGCTGGAAATTGAACCCAGGGCTTTGTGCATGCAGACACCACTGCTGAGCCATATCCCCAGTGTTTTTCATTCTCTATTTTTGGATACCATTGAATAAACCTCAGTAAGTGTCATTTTCTGCCTATTTTCTTCATGTTATTTTCCTAATAACATGTTCCAAAGTCTCTTTACATGACTGTGTTAATAACCCATCTGTCTGTGTTTAATGGCTTCCTAGCTGAATATGGTAACACACATCTGTCATGTTAGCCACAAGGGAGAAGGAAGTGGAGGTGGGGAAATGTGAGTTCCAGGCTTTTTAAAACATTTAAGGAGTCTTAAAATCCTGCCTTCAGTTTGCTGATAGATTTATTCCATTGACTGCATACCCTAGAACTGATAGAGTGAGGCGTGATGAAGCCCTGGGACAAACGGCTTTAATTCCTGTGCTTCGGAGGAATGGTGGGAGGGCCCAAAATTCCCAGCCTAGGCTATTTTGAGACCTTGTTTGAAAAAAATAAACCAATCATAATTACAACAGCTCTCCCACAGTCAGACCTCACAGATCTTCTATCTATCCAGTGTGTCTACACGCTACTAACATTCACAAACAAAAAACAAAACAAAAAAAAAACACAACTGAAGGCTAGGTTCTTGACAGGAAGACAAGTACTGGGCTGGGAGGTGTGCCTCGTTCAGCATGCATCAAGCCCAAGGTTCAAACTCCAACACCCAAAAGGGGTTAAGAAGGACATTGGCTGCCCTTCGCCTGCTGCAAGCGTCCCTAAAGAACGGTGCTTAGAATATGAGATGCATTCTATGAAAGAAATAGGTGGAAGATGCTTCGGTACACACTATTTGAGTTGAAACTCAATGGAAAACATAGAAACTTTAGACCTATTTACAACCAAGTGACTTCGTTTTGAAATAAAACAGATTTTTCTTAGAATGACTGGTGAGAGGTGGGCAGAGCACTAGGGTTTGGCCTGTGTTCAGTGTTACTGGGTCATAACCCTTTAAAAAAAACACACACACTGAACAGATTGAAATGATAACCTTGCTGAAGAAAAGACGCAGCTATAAGTAGGTCAAAGCTGAGAACTGGAATATTTGAAATTTGTTATTTTGGGAACAAATAACCCCATTGGCGGGTTCCCGAACTAAATCATGAAACAGTTGTTTTCCAGTCTCTGCCTTTCTCCTTCCAAGCTGGATTCACACAAGGTACCTTTGTTTACTCGCTCACACGTTACTCTGTCCCACTTGCAAAGAGATGGAGATACCTGGCATCTGTGCGGTTCTAGGACAAACACGTGTCTTCTACCCTCACGTTCTCCTCCTTTTAATGTATGTTACACAAATAGGAAAAATCATGTGTTTTAGAAAAGCAAAAGGGTAAACTTTAAATGTATTAAAGATGTCTATGAGATCCTTGCTAATGGTGTCTATGGAGATGATTTTGTTACGTTTTCTCATTTCTCAATGTTAGAATACGGGTAAATTTTAATTTTGATATAATAGAGAAGCTAATCTTTATATCAGGAGTGGGATTCTTTTGCTATTTAGACAGTTGAATACTTTATAAAGTTAAGGATTTTGTAATGTATATTAAACAGCAACACTGTCCTCACAAAAAGTGTATTTGGAATTTGTTACTATTAAAAATTTGTTTCCCAAGGAATTTTTGTCACCCCTGTTATTTCTAAAGGTGAACATTTCAGTAAAGGTCCTTACTTTTAACTTGAACCCATAAAGACGCTGTAGCCTTTCTTCGCTCTAAGTTGAAGCAAACTGTGAAACAGGTAAAGAGTACGTAATGCCTTAATGGCAGATTGGTTTCACATTGTTGCGAAGTGTACACTATTGCCCCATTTGAAATATTTATGCATTCTAAGCTAAGTACATGAAGGACTGTAAAGGTTCATGTGGAGTTGGGATACAACTCAGTGGGAGAGTACCTACCTACCATGCACAAGGCTCTGGGTTCACAACCCTACCACTGAAACATAAATAACTTTTCTTTATAGTTCTCTGACAGTAACTTGAGGCATACACAGAGACTTAGTGATAGATACAATGATCAAGGCATTGTTTTAATAGTATTCTTGGATGCTTTATAAAACAGCATTTTAACCTTAACTGGGATATTTACCAGGTAGGCTGAACACATGACATGAGATCTCCGTTCTCAGGTCCACAGTAGGAAAGTATTTCCGTTCACTCGTCCTGTCTTCACTACAACCCACTCTTAGGAATGAAATGGAATTCAACAAATTGGTTTCTCGTGCTGACTAACTTCTGAAACTTTGTTTTCCAAACATTAAAAAGATCGAAATTCGGGCTGGAGAGATGGCTCAGCGGTTAATAACGCTGACTGTTCTTCCAGATGTTTTGAGTTCAATTCCCAGCAACCACATGGTGGCTCACAGCCATCTGTCATGGGATCTGATGCCCTCTTCTGGTGTGTCTGAAGACAGTGTACTCACATGCATAAAATAAATGAATAAATAAATCTTTAAAAAGAAAAAAAAAGGAGATTCAATGTCAATACATGATATATGTGTCTGAGACAAGCTTTTGGTTTAATAAGTTCTTAGGCAAATATTTTAAATCGTCTCTACTAACTCCTCTTCGTTCTCTTGAACTTCCTGCTTATCCTCTTGTTAACTCCCAAGCTTTACAGAGTCCTTTCTCTGACAAGGCCCTCCTGCCTATAAGACCAGTGCTTTACCAGTTGGCTGCTATCACTAGCAGGCTTCCTGGCCACCTTTCAAGTTAGAGCTCAGCATATCTGTCTCTCCCTCTCTCCTCCCCTCTTCCCACTCCTCCTCCTCCTCCCACCTGCTTCCCTAAACAGGACAAAGTAAGAAGTGCTTTTCTCCTTCGTTGGGGTTTGGTCCCTTGCTATGTACTGTAATGCTAAATACTGGCCCACAGGGTCTGGTTGCTCTCAGGGAGGAGAGAATCTCCACACACCAAGTAATGCTGTGTGGCCTTG